GATGTGTCCATTATAAACAACACATGGTTGGATATTTTTTAAAACCCAATGTGAGATTCTGTTAATAGACGAATTTTACCCATTTCCATTTAATGAGGACTTATTCCCATCTTTGGTTTTCTATCATGCTTTCTTATGATTTTTTTATTCCATTTCATACTTCCATTGATTTGATTGAGCTTCCTTCTTCATGTTTTTCCTCTCATGTTTTAGGAATTGTGGCAGACGCAGCTGGTTGCCTCTCCAATATCTACTCTCTCTTCTATTCTGTAAATTGAACTCTGAGGTAGGGCACATTGATTTGTTTACTAACATTCTTGTTCTCCTCTCCTTTCAGGTATGTGGGGAGATTGCATTTTCCTTCTGCTTGAAGTTAGACACAGCTACATGACTGTTGAGCCAATAAAAGGGGAAGAGAAGTGAAATATAACACTTTTAAGTGAAATGCTATAACATTGGTGCTCTTCTCTCCAGCCATTCCTTCTCCTGCTTGGGCAAGTGCAACCACAGGAGCTCATATCCACATGGAGGGGGTATAAGAGTGGAGCAGCCTGGAAGGCTGAGCTAACACACGGAAGGACACTGCCTTGGAGAGTTGCCTGGACCCCAGCAGAATTTGTGTGAGTGAGAAATACATTTCGGTTAAGCCATTGATGTTTGCAAGTTTCTCTCAGAGCAGAATCTAGCCTCTTTGGATACACCTGAGTTTGGTCATGGTGGCAACATGTGTCCTTGTAGCAGGGAGGGTCATGTAACAGTTCTAGCCAATGAAACATAAGTGGAGGGGGCTGGATGAGTGAGCCTTCTGGGAAAGGCCTTTAAAGGAAATGAAGCCAGCTGGCATGAGTGGTTTCTCTTTGTGCCCTTCCTCTTGCCTGAAGACGCATGTAGACATGATGGCTGGAACTAGGAGTCACATTGAGAGTATGAGGACTAGGATCCGATCCCAAGGTGCAGTGTGGAAGCAGAGAAGAAGGGACCTGTTGACATTGTGCAGCTTCTGTATCTTGGTCTGCCCATTGCTGGGCTTCATTTATGGGAGAAGAAATCAAACTTCTATTTTGTTTAAGCTACTGTTTTTCAGGTTTCTGTTCCTAAGAGCCCAATACAATTCCTAACTGTTATGGAAGTTATTTAAATAGTAACTTTTATTCCTCTATTATTTATACTAAAACTACTTTCATGTTGTTATTGTGGAAATTTTCAAACATATCCAAAGGTAGACAGAGTAGTCATCATCCACCTTCAACAATGATCAACTCATAACCTGTCATCTTTCATTGATACCTCCCACTCTCCCCTCCTGGATTGGTTCTTGCAGCTGGTCTTGCCTGCATGCTCTTGAGGGTGCCATGTTGTCCTCAGCCCCCGCCAATAGATGAACCTGCTTGGGTACCCCATCCACAGACCTAAACCCACCTTCTGTGATGCCCTTCGTCCCTGCCTTGGTCTTGAGTGGTGAGGTCCCCACAGCCTGTGGCTTCTTGTCCCTGTCCTAGACCTCTTTGAGACCACCAGTCCTTTTGGCACTTCTTACCTCCCCCATTGTGGGGGTCCAGGGACTCTTCACTACTTCCCAGCCCCATAAGGGAGTATACAGGGCTCAATGGAGGCAGCCCTCAGACCCAGCACTTTGGCACTCCCTCAACTTTTACCACCTTTCACCTCTGAGCCATGTAGTTTCCCCAGCTTACGTTCTCAGATTCCTCTATGCCTACTGGGGTAACCTGAGGGGAGAGGCTGAGGGTAGGATCTGGTGGCAGGCTGCAGCAGTACATAAGCCCCCCACACTCCTCTGTTTCAGGGTCATGAATGGGTTTTTATCTCTTCCTCTGCGGTTGAAACTTTCTCTACCTGCCCTGTCCCCCATCCCTTTTCACTCTCAGACTCTATGGTCACCCTCTTTATAGTCACACTCTACATTAAGTTGTTTGTTCTTGACACTTGATATGAAAGCTCAGCTTGGGAGAGCCCAGAAAACAATTTTTCCTTTCAACTCATTCTAGCTCTTCTACATAATAAGCTTCCAGACTAGTAACTTGTGGTGGAGTTGAACAAACTCAATTTTTAGAAGCAAAGCTGAGCAAAGTCCTCTCTACACCAAGCAACATCCACGTGGTGAGATGGGAGTGGGGTGGGGTGGTAGTCAGAACCAGTGTTCTCCAGTAACATGCGTAGATGCGTATGTGTATGATCGGTGGGATGTTGGCCCACTCAAGCTGCCTGGTGTGGCATGACAGTGGCTGTGGCCATCTCCTTTTGGGTTTGGCATGTGGGACAGAGAGAGTCAGAAGACAAGGCAGGATGGAGACCTGGGATCAGAGCTGAGGTTGTGATGCATGAGGTGAGGGGCTTGAGAGCAAGGAGTAGGTGTCCTGGGAGCAAGGAGACTAGATGCCATCTGGGAATCATTTTCCAGGGCTGGAAGGGACCTGCAGAGGATGGGCCCTTACTTACTGAACTATCTTCTTAGGGGCCCAGGAGGCTGGGCCAGTCTGAGGGTCAGTATATTTCTTCGTTGATCAGGCCTAGGGCACATATCTCTTGTGGACATGATGTCACCTGGGGGAAGAGCAAGAGTGGGTACACAAAGTCCCCCAGAGTGCTCTCAGGCCCACTTCTGCCCCAAAGCTGCAAGCATGCTCCTCCCATTCCCATTTCTAGTGTTTCAGTGTATTCTCAGGAAGAGTTTCTTATGCAGCTCGATTCTCGATGATGGTGGGGAAGAGAAGGGAGGGTCTGTGAAGTTCTGTGAGGATCTGAGAAGTCTACCTCTCAGCTCACCCCTGCTGAGGAGGGGAAGGTGGCTCTACTGATCTAGGCAATGCCAGCCAAGCCACAGACCTCACTGTTAAAGGGGAGCCTCTCTCCTGACTCCTGTCCTATGTCTCATTCACTTCCTCTGCCTAAGGCTCTCTGATGCCCAGCACCCACAGGTCCAGACCATCTCTGGCTTCTCAAGACTCCTGACCATTGGAGGGACACCCAAGGTGGTGGTAAAGACCTTGGATGAAGTTTGGCCTCCTTGGTCTGGCCCCTGAGTTTCCATTGCTCACACCTGTGTGGTGCCATCTTCCTGGGATCCTGTCTACCTGGGACAAAAGGCCCCTCCCAATATTCCTCCCAATAACCTCTCCCCATCCCTTCCCCCGGCTACCAGGAGGGGCTGTGTCTTCCTGCTTCCAAAGGTTTTTGACTCAAAGTGGCTCTTCTGGATCCCCCGTTTCACTTTGCATTCTTAGGTCACCAGAGAGCAGAAAGCCTTGATTACCTTGAGCTCACTGAGTGTTTGGCTTGGAATTCTGCATGACCATCCGCAGGTGGGACCACACAGGCTGAATAGGGGCATATAACCTGGGCTGGGAAGGGCTTAACTCAGCAGTTTCCAAATTGTGGTTGCATATTGAATTCTAATGCCCACGCCTCCACCAGTCCAATTAAAACAGAATCTCTGGGTTGGCACAGGCATCAGTAATTTTTTATGTCCCAGGGGATTCCAATATCCAATGTAGGTTGAGAACCAGAGACTTAAACCCTTGCCAGCACAGGTTTTAAACACCTCTCACTGCAGGGGTGGCGCCTACAGGGCTAGTCATGCAGAATTCCCGTCATGTTCAGCATGCAGACCTAACCAGTTTCCTACCACTCACTGCTGCTAGTAGCAGGAGGAGAAAGCTGTGCCCAAAGCTCCTGAAGGATGTCCCTTGGAAGAGCAAGGTACCCGGCTGCATTATTGCCACCTGCAGCTACTAGAGGTAATGAGTGTTGGGCTGAACACTGAATCCTCACATCCACTGCAGCTGTTCTGGAGACACCCTCCCCGGAACCCCAAACACATACACACACACACAAGGGGGCCTGGGCTGAGGGACAGCCTTACCCAGCTGCAAGGCCCATGAAGACCTCTGACTTCTGCATACCTCCCCAACTTGTCCTCCCATTCCTCGTGCAAAGCCACCCATTGCAAAACCCTGGGGAGGGTCACGGAGCTCAGACTTCTGGGATGCAGGTATAGAGACAAACATCTGAGGGACACGGGGTGAGAGTGAGGAACCTTGGGCATGGATGACAAAGCAGAGACTGTGGGAGATCATGTACAGAGATGGTTGAGACATAGATGCAAGAGGTAACAGGAGACTTAGCAGAGCAGAGACCCATGAGCACCCACTCGAGGCAGGCCTGGCAGGCTGCGGCAGTCTGTGGAGGGTTGGGGGAAAGAGAGAGGATCTTGGAGGGGAGGCCAGCACAGCTGCTTCTGAGGATGTGGTAGGATTTAGAGGTTGCATCCCCAAACCAATGACCTCCAATGGCAGAAGGACAGCCCTTCCCCCTGCCCACCCCTAGTCCTCCTCTGCTTGTTTACCCACTCCTGACACTCCCCCCTCCCCTCCCCCACCCCATGCCTGGTTCTCCCAGGGAGTGGCCAGCAGAGGGGAGAGAAGCCTTGTCTCTCAGCCCTAGGGAGGGAGGCAGCAGGCACAGCTGCTGCTCCTCAGCTCCTGCCATGGCCTTCCCCAGGGGCTGGCTCTGGCTTGCTGTCCTCCAGTGAGACACAGTGCCTGTCCTGCTGTTACTCAGGGGGGTACTCTGTCCTCTTGGCTCCCTGCCAAGCGCTGTGCTGGCCACAAGGGCTCTGCCAAGCACAGGGCTGTGGAATCCTGGCCTTCCCATCTGGCTCTGGCTCCAGCCAGACTGTCTGGTGTCCTATTCTGAATGGAGATGCCTGAGCAGGGCTGCAGAAAAATAAAGCCCAATGCCTATCCCCACTTGTGGAGGGAGCTGAGGTCAGGCTGGCTGAGGTGTCAGAGCCTGACCTGGGCCCTGGGGTCTCTTTTGGGTGCAAGATTGGTCAGGTTTGCATTAGGAGCAAAAGCCCATGTTAGGTTGCCCTGGGATGGGCTCTAGATCACACCAGGTAACCATTTTTTGGGTGGAAGGCAGGAAGGTTAGGGGCTGATCTTTCTTCTATGGGTCTAATTTCTAAGGGGCAGTTTCCATCGTGATCAGTAAATGTCTTTATTGGAAGAGAGATCCAGTCTCCTTGGCTCTGCCAGCACCCTAGGTCATGAGAATTTCGATGTCGAGCTCCAGCCGGCTGGCTCTGACCTCATAGCAGCCCCGGATCAGGCCTCGGGTTTGGCTGGCATGCCAGCGCCAGTAAGACTGGATGACGCAGGCCGCTTGGCGTGCCTGAAGAAACCGTCTGCGGGCCTGCCACATTCGCACCTGTGCCTGCACCTTCACCACGGCCCACTCCTGGCAGGTGTAGACTCTTAGTGCCAGGCGCCGTCTTTGCTCCAATGTCTTGGCCTGCATCGACCTCCACCAGCACTGGATGACCCAGGCCCTGAGTGCTGCATGCAGTAACGTCCGGCGCACCATGTTGCCACGCCACCATGCCTGAATCTTTATGGCTGCCTTCTCTAACTGATCAGGGGAAGGAACAACAGGGAGATGCTCAGTGGGGTACCCTCCCATTCCTGTCCCCTCCTCTGGTGCTGGGAGGAAAGGGGGCCTGGCCGAGTTGGCCCTGCCCTCTCATTTCTAGGCCCATCCATCTTATTTTCAATCCCCCACTCACCTTCGGACACTGCTCATTATCCACTAGGCAGATCCCTCCTGTATGGGCCTTACCGACATTTTGTGTGTCCATGGCCCTGGTGTTTAGAGTCCACTCATCTATCAGTTAGGCCACCCTAGTCTTTAGCCCCGCCCTCGACTGTTAGTCACCCCCTATCATTAGACTCCGCCCACCTGCACACAAGGCTCCCCTCATCGGGTCCTGTCCATCTACATTTTAGCTACATCTCTCTCTCCTCTTCTCCTGCTTGTGTCTCCTTATGGATTGACCAGTCACCCTGTTTATTGATTCCCATCATTTTGGGGGGCCTGCCGTTATCTCTTGCTTTCAGTTTATTTCTCAGACCCAACTGGCGTCAGTTAAGTCTTGCTCTTTCTACACCTTCCAGTCACTTATTTTTGTTTCTGCTGGTGGCAGTGAAGAAAGAGATTCACGCAGCTTTCCTTCAAGTAAGGGGTTTTACTTTAGGAATACTCATCGCTAGTAGCTGGATTTCTGGAAGCTTCAGAGTCGGAGCCCGTGGGAGGGGGTCAAGCAGTGTGTTCATGGGGCAGTATGTTTTTGTGTAAAATTTGTGAAAGCGAGATAATTTAGCTGCAGTTAGAGAGGGCCTCTGTCTCCCCCTCTCTGACTCCCTCTGTCAGCCTTCTCCTCTTGGGTGGTGTGGAATGGCTGCAGCCTCTTTAGGGGCATGACTAGGGGGAAGCTGAGTTGGAATATACTTAGTTTAGGTTAATTGGGATAGATTTGTGTGGTTCACCATCACCCCTGGGAATAAACACACTTTTCCTAGCCATGGTGATGGAACTGGCTTCCAAGACTGCTCCTTCCTGTTTCTGCATCCACTCACCTGTCACGGTATGAAAATGTGGGGACAGAAGTGCCGCTACGGTGATAGGAACATGCCCTACAGTGCCCAGCACCAGAAGTATGTGGGCAGGAGAGGAAAAGCAAGGTTTGAAAAGTACAGAGACAAAAGCTGGTCTGTAGAAAACTCCTCCTGCTAGCAGACATGTAAAACCGTGAAGTGGGAGATTCTGTTCTCACTGATGCCTGATTAAAATTGAAGTTCTGTCTTGTCAGGAGTATACTTGACAATGCAGTGAGATGATTATAAACATACCATACTTTTTTGTTTTTTTTGGTGTGAATTTTGTGAAATAGAACTTATCAGAATTCTTGTGATTGCAGGGCACCAACTAGTAGAACTAGTCTGAACAGTGTATGCATTGACATGAGAAACCGTATGTTTTATGCACCCCGAGTGTCAATAATAAACAAGTTTCTATAGAAAATGATATTGCAAAATCATCATATGAAGAAATAATCAAAAGTTATGCAGCAAAAAATGTTATAGAGGTGAGACAGTTTAATATGTACATTATGTTTTGGTATTTGCCAACTTTTAAAAATTTGTAATTTATTGTGATTTCTTTACTCGTCCTAAATATGCATTTGCCTAATTTTAAGTCTGTAATTTTGTATTCTTTTTGTCAAAGTAGGCCTTCCAAATTATATAAGCTTCAGGTGGCACAAAACCTGGATCTGCCCTTCTGTGCTGTAAGAATGAAGCTGTGCAGCCAGGTCTCCCGGGAGCTCACAGAGAGCTGCGTTTCTAGGATTCAGAGTTAGGACTGGAACTGCAGGCGCAGGTATGCAGAGATGCTGAGAGTCCTTTGGGATTTGGAAGGCTATTCTGGCTTTGGCTTTAGCGAGCATGTTATCACTCATTTTTCTGCATGAGGCTTTGCTGGGTTCTCACCACTTGAGGGGCTGTGCACTGTCTGTGGCTCCTGTTTATGTGTATTTGAGGCCTCGTATCATCACTCGTACTAATTGCCATGGCACTGTCCATTGGGGTGTCTTACAGGTTCTGGCCCTATTTTCAACCAAGCAACCTCTTTGCCTCATGTTAAAAGTCCTCAAGAATGGACCCTATTGCTTCCTTTAATGACTGTCAATCTGGGTGAGCAGAGCCCTGGTATCCGCCATCTCGAAGGCCTCCATTGCTGCTTAAACCGTTGGTCCTGGCATCTGACATCCACTCCCAGCCCAACTTGCTGGATTCTGCAGAAGGGATCACTTAGAAGGGGGCTGTGGATGTGGCCAGCCCTCTAAGGCTCAGTCCATCCAGGCCAGGTTGCCGTGGTCAGGATGCCAGATCCCACTGTTCCTTGTGGATCTCTCCCCTCCCCACCTCTGGCCTGGCTGGTTGTTGCCAGAATATCCTGGCTTTGTGCCTTTCTTAGAGGTCCCAGGAAAAACTTGCCAGCCCCTTTTATGTTCATGCTTCTGCAGTTATTCACAAAGTGGCAGCAGAGGGGGCGGAAAGGTAAGATGAACTCCCTGAATTCAAGTTTTCACAGACCACGAACCTTGGTCTCTGTTTTCTTACTGCTCCCCTCCCCCGCTTCCAATTCTGTCCCTCTTGCTTGATTTTTTTTTTCTGATTATAAATATAGTATGTCTGTTGCTAAAATTTCAAATAATGCAGAAACGTAGAAGGTGGATAGTGAATTTCCCATGAAATTTGCTCCCAGAGCTATTCCTCCAGACCTTATACCATGAACAGACTGACTTAAATTTTCTATTAAAAATAATGTTTGTAATTTATATATTTCAAACTAAAATTTCCCTCAGCGATCAATGTTTCCACCCTGACATGATTACTGCTCTCAGCTTGGAGGGTATCCTCGACAATTAGCTATGCACTTACATACACAGTACATCCATGAACCTAAAGAAATATAAAGCTGTTTTGTGTGTTTCTATGTATATTTTTAAATTAATTGAGGTAAAAATCATATAACATAAAATTGTCCATTTTAACCATTTTAAAGTATACAATTAAGTGGCTTTTAATACATTCACAATGGTGTACAACCACCACCATTACCTAATTCCAGTTTCTAATTTCATCTAATTTTAATTCTAATTTCATCACCTCAAAAAGAAAGCCCATACCCGTTAAGCAGTCACTTCCCATTACCTTTTCCTTACCCCAGGCCCTGGCAACCATTAATCTGCTTTTAGTCTCTATGGATTTTCCTATTCTGGATATTTCATGTAAATGGAATCACATAATATATGGCCTTTTGTGTCTGGCTTCTTTCACTTAGCATGATGCATCTGTATTGTAGCATGTATCAGTACTTCATTCCTTTTTATGGCTAAATAATATTCCATTGTATGTATATACCACATTTTGTTTATACATTCATAAACTGACAGATATTTGAGTTGTTTTCACTCTTTGGTGATTGTGAATATTACTGCTATGAGCATTTGTGTACAAGTATTTGTTTGAATCCCTAGTTTCAGTTCTTTTGGGTATATACCTAGGAGTGGAATTGCTGGATCATATGGTAATTCTGTGTTTAACTTTTTGAGGAACACCAAACTGTTTTCCACAGCAGCTATACCATTTTACATTCCCACCAGTCTCCACAACCTTGCCAACACTTGTTTTTTTTGCATTTATTTTTTATTATAGCCATCCTAGTGTGAAGTGGTATCTCATTGTTATGATTTGCATTTCCCTAAGACTAATGATGCTGAGCATATTTTCATCTGCTTTTGGGGCATTTGTATATCTTTCTTTGGAGCAATATCTATTCAAGTCCGTTTCTGACTTTTTAAATTTTTATTTATTTATTTATTTTTAATTTTTTGTTTATTGCACTAACATTGGTTTATAACATTGTATAAATTTCAGGTGTACATCATTACACTTCTATTTCTGCATAGATTACATCATGTTCACCACCCAAATACTAATTACAACCCATCACCACACACATGTGCTGAATTATCCCTTTTGCCCTCCT